TTACACTGGCTCCTCAGATGTCCTTGCTCCCCACAGTTCCAACAGCCTTTCTTGGTAGCAACTTTTACTGCTGTAATCTCTCTTCTTGTTTAATCTCTCGTTCTTCTTGTTTCTTTTCTTTTAACTCCAACAATTGCTGTAATCTCGCTTGTTTATTTTGTTGTTCCAGCTGCAACTGCTGTTGTCTCTCTTCTTGTTTATTTTCTCGTTCTTCTTGTTTCTTTTCTTTTTCCTCTAACAACTGCCGTAATTTCTCTTCTTGTTTAATTTCTCGTTCTTCTTGTTTCTTTTTCCTCTAACAACTGTTGTGATTTCTCTTCTCGTTCTTCTTGTTTATTTTCTTGTTTTTGTATTGCTGCCATCAAGTCTGCTAAGCTGTAGTTTGATTTTCCGCCTCTCGTTTCCATTTTCTTCTCTTTTTTTTTCTATCCCACTCTCTGACACCAATTTGTTACATCTCCGTTTGTTAATTGATTTTCCGTAACTTTGTTCCGACGAAACTTAAGGACACAAGTCTTTACTGGTTTATTCTTTCCGAATATAACTTTACGATACACTTATTTCAATATTCGCGTAAAAACAAACACTATGACGAACGAACGTTAACTTCAACAATACCCTGTGACTGCAGTTCAATTACTCACTATCTACTCACACGCATTACATTACCGCGTCACGTTGTCCCCTCTTATATATACCCACCTACCCCATGTAGTAAATACTAGAGCATTCATGAAGAAACAAGATAGTTCTAGAAACTAGAGGGCGCCACACCAGTCACGTGACCTCGATGACGCAACAATATATTTAAAAAAATCATTGCGTTATTTTTACATTTTTCTTACATTCCTTTTAATGTCCTAATTTTCTTTTTAACCAACTCTCTTATTCTTCTAAATCACATCAAACAATTTAAATTTCTTAAATTTGTGATACTTTCATTTAATTTCATCTCTTATACCCTTTGTGAGCCAACCTGGGTTTTACTTGCAGACACCCTTTTCTTTCTATAAGAACTCTGTTTATTTGATATATAAATGTTTTCCACATTTGATCAGTGTCTCCAAATAACTCAGTTGCCCAATTCACAACAGATAATTCTTGTGGTAGACCTTCAAAATTTGCTTTTTTGATACTTGTAACCAAAATATCGTTATTCCTGATCACCATATGCAACAAAACATTGAACCTAATTGTGCAATGATCCCTTGCACCCAGATGTTCCCCAATTTCTATCGTCTCAACCATTTCTATATTAAAACTTAACAATAAATCTAAAATAGTATTGTTTCTAGTAAGTGAAGAAAATTATTTTTAACAGCTTCCAAAAACATTTCTCCTTCATAGTTTGACTCTAGCATATCCGAATCTATATGTCTGAAATTAAAATCCCCCATGACTATGACCCCCATTAATAGCTGAAATCTTAATCTCGCTGTAACATTGCTCATTAACTTCATCAATATCATCTGGTGATGTGTAACAAATTCCCACTAAAAACTCTTTATTTTTATTTCCTCTAATAAAAACCCAAATGAATTCAATCTTCTTGCTATTATCTTTAATATTTTCAACTTCAATAGGATGTAACTCACACTTTATATATAAAGCCACTCTTTAGTGCTATATCTCTTGTATTTCAAAGAAATTTCTGTCATCAAAATTAGCCTCATTTAACCATGTTTCTGTTATTCCCATTATATCAAAATCCTCCATTCCTACCGGCGCTATAAAGTCATCTTATTTCTTATACTTCAAGCATTACAATAGTAACAATCATGCCTATCCTTAGAATTACTTCTACACTTAGTTCCTTTGCTAAACTTTTCTCTACGTCATTTTTTTTTTCATTTAGTTTATCCTGGCCTTCACCACTGTCTAATCCTAGTTTAAAACCTCCATTACAGTTGAGTTAATAGCCCTTGCAAACAAGCCAGCCTATTTATATGTAATCCTGTGTGTCATCAAAGATTATAGTTTTAAAAGTGTACAAATATCGTTTGTCGAAAGTGGCGTCCATTGAGTTAAGAAGAATCGGAGTGAAATTTACACTAGGGAACCAGTTTAACCAGATTTAATTTGGCAATAGGTTAAAACAGCATTGCCAAACATTTTGTCATCCTTGCCCTCTTTAATAAATATGGTTTCTTGCACGCCCCCTTTTTTTTAAATGAGTGAAAGAGTGAGTTAAACATAGATACACATTAAAATAATATAAGCATTGTAGTTTGTTTGAAGTTAAGCAAAAAGCTACAATGTGCTATTTGTCCTCTGCCAACAAATGGTATCGAAACCTGGTTTCTAGCATTTTATGTCCGCAGACATACCGCTGTAGTAATTACTTATTATTTGCATCAGTAAAAAATATGTTGAAATGCTTAATGTTTGCATTATTGCCTCTATCTTAATCGCTCGCCCCCACCAAGAGAGTATCTGTGCCCCTTGGAGGTGGGGAGCCACACATATTGGAAAACCCGGGGTTAGAAGTTTCACGTTATAAAATGTTGGTGTAACTTGACGAAATCATATGTGCTACGAAGGAAGGAGAGGTGAGCCAGACAGTGGTAGAATACTGTTATCTATCTATTCGTTTGATAATTTCCTTAATTTCCGGTATAAATTCTTTCCGAGGAACTTCAGCGATACAGGCCCTTTCTTAGTTAAAACTAGTTTATTCTTTCTCAATACAACTTTGTAATACACAGAATTTCCACAGTCACTTTAAACTTAACAACCTTTATAAAATCACAGTGGTTCACACACTTTACTTACGGCGCCTACTGTTCGCTTGACTCAATTATCTATATCTTCAATCTATCTGCATATCTATCTATTGCTGGTATTATTTGCCGGGCTTATACAATAAAAAAAAAAGGGCGCCTGGCAAACACTCGGACATTCGCGAGGTTCCTCGATAAGTCATGATCCTTCTAGAAACTCCAGCGCGCATGCTCCCTGCGTCGCGTAACTTCCGCTGACGTAACAGTACCATAATTTTTTTTTAGGTATTGAAATATTGCAATCCATTTATTCAGTTGTTATTTCCTTATTTTTTTATTTTAATTTTGGATCTTGGAAAACAACTTTCTAATCTATACTGATATAAATTGGCGTGCATACGAACCATCTTTCGCTATTTTAAATATTGCTCCTGCTGATATATTGTCTGTTTACGTTTGTCTAATTGTCGTGTTTTACATAATAAACATGTTATTTACTGTACTTGTGACATGACAATAATCGTGTTTTGTTAAGAAATATATTACTTTGTGAAAATGGAGTTAAAAGTTGTCTTCAAGAGCTTGCACAGAAAGTAGTTTAAAAAAACCAATTTTAAGAAAATGAGAAAAATATCTCAATTCAAAAATTTACTACTTCCATAACCTTGAGGTCAAGTTTCCACAACAAACTTACACATTACTTTCGTGAGTTGGGGTTAATTCGAAATTATGTTGTGATTCTAAACTCAGGTTAAATTTCCAATATTTAAACTTTGATTAAAAGCAAATTTATGTTTATATTTATTTGTAAATGAAATGGCTGACTCATAAGTAAACGAAGAACATTCATGTCGATAATTTTCTTTTTCCCCTTTTTCTATTTATTTCGTTTATATAAATAAATTTGTGAATAGTTTTCTCCCTGATATTTTTCTATAGTCATATGTTGAAAATAGTTTTTTGCATCTAATATGCTCTTGTTTGTTTGTTGTTAAACACAAAAATACACAATGGTCTGTCTGTGAGTTGCCCACTGAGGGTATTGAAACCCGATTTTTTTAGCGTTATAGCCCCTCAGTCTGACCGCTAAGCCACGTGAGGGGACATAATTATGTTTTTAAATTGTCAGTGGTGAAAAAATAAAACTAATTTCATCTGCTAAAATCATGTATTTTTTGTTTAATTCTGCATATTTTAATAGACAGTAAAGTTACGTTATATTTCTTTTATATCTTGTTAGCAAAAAGCAAAGCGTAGAAGTTATAGTGCGAATTCTATTTATATTTTGTAATTGTGATATTACCACTGATATTATCAATGTTTAATAAAAAGAGCACGAATTGTTTTATGATGTGTTAATGACGTCAAAAACCCGCAATGATATATTTAAATTATTTAATTGTTCAAAGTTTAAAAAATGTAAGGTGGAAGCAAATTTGTTTTCGATATTTTTTTAAATTCTTAATATTTGCGATTTTTATTTTCAATAGGTATTTTCTAGTTGTAAAAATTCCAGTACAAAATGTTTATACTACTACTTCTTCAAAGGTATTGGCTTAAAAATAAAATGTAAATAGTGTTAAGTGCTGGTGAACTGAGAAGTATTAGTTCGTGCTATCGAAGGTTTGAAAAGCAGCTGATCAAGTTTACCGCAAGTGCCATGCGTCTTGACGAGTGTTTGGAGCAGCAATGCGATGATACTCGGCAGGCAGAACTTCAAGTTCAAGAAGGTAACCAAACAGAAACTGACTGCTTCACTTGTATCGACAATAATTCAGTAAATGAATGTAACGTTTTTGAAGATAGGATTCGTGTGGATCGCAGAAAGCTCGAACAGATGATACAAGGTAGGCCTAAATACAGTTATGACTTGTATTGCTTTTTATTTTCACCCATGTTTTGTGTACTATACTCGAAAGTACTAATTTCGTACTAGTAGTATTACTACAGCCACTACCACAAATTCAACATCTGAAGTCGTAAATACTAGTTTTACGATTCCGTCACTCATACAAGTTATACTAATTATAGTGAAGTAGTAACTATTCAGTTTTTAAATTTAAAATATTAAAATAAATTCAATTTTATTTTAATTCAGTTTCAACCAGCAAAGAAAGAAAAAAAGACTAATGAAAAAGTACTTCCCTCTGAAATTTATTATCATACCACTCTTATGAATTTATGTACTAAGTAAGGTGGTATACTAATTACTGTAGTATTTTTTTCTTCTGAAGTGAAAACAAGTAACCTTGGTGCCATTAATTGTAACAGCAATTGTAAAATATTAAAAACTTTAAAGCACTTCTGTAAACCACAAAAATATTTCGATATACATGTATGGAATTACTGCAAAGACTGTTCAAATTAAATAGTATAAATTAATATTTCAGTTTTTATAATATATTTGTTAATATATAACTAGAATTTAGAAATGAAGGATATATATAACAAGTAGACATAATAAAACAGTTGAAATAGGAGAACATTTGGGAGAGGGTGATTGCAAAAATAAGTTTGATGTTTTGAAAAGATAGGTAGAAAAGGAGATTTAGTTCCTAAATTTCAGAAAACCCTTTTTTGAAGCCATGAAACAAAATTGATTATTAGTGAATAAGAATAATGAGTTAGAAAGTGATTGTGGGGCAGATTTGGAAAATTTTCAACAATTAAGTACACTTCTTTTGTTCATAAAAATGCTAGAAATTCTGATAAAAGAAACTATAAAATCATTTTATTAAGTTTTAATAAAAAAATTGGTACTTGACTAACAAAAAATGTATTTGGGTGGAATTATAATATAATTATAATGCCTTTAGAAATCTAGATAAAACAGAAAATAAAAGAATCTGAGGTGTAACTATAAGCAAGTATTAAATAATTCACTAACTGAAAAGGAAAATTAAATAGAATTACTGAAGCATAATATTTTGGTTAATTTAAATATAGCATAAGAATATTAAAGAAAAAGTGACAGTAGGATTTTCAGACCAATTAGATCATTCCTAACTTTCAAAACAAATGAATATAAAATAAGTGTAGACCTTTATAGCCACATACTTATCCAAAATAATGTTTATATGCTTCAAGTCAAACTAACAGCATGTACTGAAACATCACAGACAATTTCCAAAGCTTAAACTATTTTTCATGTATCAACTTTGTATTTCCAACTTTTAAATTCTATCACTCATACAAGCCATTCATAAGAAGGGTCTCTAAACCTTTAATAATGTTGGCTATTTAAATTCTTCCCCCTAATTTCTCAGGGATGTAGAGAAAAAAGTATAACTTTAAGTGTCTCTTCTCATATTTTAGATAACTTTATCCACATGTTATTTAAGTTTATTTCTATGAATCATTTCTTAAGCCTCATTTCAGATTTGGGCCCTCTGTAATATAGACAAGCAAGATATCAACACATGAGAAAGAATGCAAAAGTGGGGAATAAAAGTTTGAATATCCAAGGAAAGGAAACTTCTGAAAATTATTTAAACAGAAAAGTTCTACCACCCCAATTTTTCTATACTGAAACATGACCCATCCTTTATTTCTGTGCACAGGAAAGTAACAGCCCCTCAAGAAATGGGGTTGGTTAACTGAAGCTTACTCATTTGATTTTGAAAATATACTCCATAACATTTATTCTGTTTACATTGATGTTTTGATTTAGGTGATGCTACACTATGAATGTTCTGCCCACACACAAAATATACCATACCCTGTAAAATGGTATTCAACATACTAATTATATATAGAGCGCAATCACAACCAACTGGTATTATTTATTGACTGATCATTCCTCTAATATCATTTTCTTATGCCTAAACAATGATGGCTTAAGGGGTCACATGCAGAGTGATAAAGAACATTTCCGTAAATGATTCCATCAATATTCTGGAAGTAAAAAAATTGTATTGTAATTCAATAATTGTACCAGATAATACATAAATGGCAATAACTAATTTTTGTTTAAATGCAAGCAGTTAAAATAAACATCCATTTGCAATTATAAACTTGCAAAATTTAATAAATATAATCAAAAAAGGAAGCCATGATTAATCAAAGATAGTTTAATCTCCATACATGCTAATAATCAAAATGACTTTAATTTGAAAATGAATATAAGAAATGTAGTATCATTTATACATAATACTTATAGAAATATCTTAAACAAAATACCACAAGATGCAAAATTATTCTATTGGGTGAGGGGGGGGGGTGTTTGACCATCTGATAAGATGTATATTTCATTAGTTTAAACAAGTTCATGTACTTGAATACATCTGTCCTACTTGCAGAACTAGCATAGTGTATATTAACATTTCCACTGGTGGACAACTTTGAGGCTACCTCTATATGCATAACTTGCCTTACCTTTTTTTGTTGTTGTTATGGCCCAGAGTAATCCATTTTCTAAAATTAAGTATTCTTTTTCTAAAAAATATCAGGAAATTAATAAAATCATGTGTTAACATTCCTATTTTTCAATTTTGATCTGAAAAAAGTTTTTTTTTCTTTCTAGTTGATAGGAATAACAGTTTGTTTAATTATTTCAATTTTTTTTTTTTTATTAATGCACTGGACATTTCTGAGGGGTATTTAAAGACCAATACAACTCTTGTAGTCTATTTTTATGGATAAGTCTGCTTTAGTAAGTTTTTACTTTAACATTTGAATTATGTTAATACTACCTCTTATTGCACCATTTCATGATTGGGTATTCATAATATGGAGAACAACATTGTTTTTGTATTATAAGAATTTCTGTTACTTTGCACAGAAATGTAGTCCACCCTCTTTAATTCATAAACAATAATCTGCATGTGATTTTTGTGCACATAAATCTTACCCCTCCAACATCACTCTCTTCCTGGTAAGCAATGACTACTCCCTTAACTTAAACAAAGAAGGTACTCTTTTCAGTGTCTTGGAAATTCCACCCCTGGCATCCCTCTTGAAGCTCAACATTCTTATGTAGTTGAGATAATATTGGCAATTTATTTTTATTTGAGATAGTACTTGGTGTACTACTTTCCCGGTGTTTGAGGACCAAGCTGCTCAGGTAATGGGATAGGTCCACTGAATAACGGGAGATTCAACAAGATATTTATTACAGGGTAATTCTGTATTTCTCTGAGTTCATGAGAAGAAAATAGAGACTGGAAAAAAAAAGTAAGATATTATGAATAATCTTTATTTAATAATACATAAACAGTATGTATACTTGTTGAGGATGTTGGACAGTCACATTTACTGTATTTGAAACTGTTTTTTCTCCTAACTGTATGAGTCTATATTGTATACTAGACTGTGTATACCTAATGTTACTTATCTAGAGCAATTACTGCTACCCATGTAACTAGTCATTATTCAAACTCAATGGAGATTGTAACTTCAACATATCACCTGACCTACAATTAGAGAACACTGGTGTTGACATCCTTGCACAACGTACAATACTGCATCCATATTTCCTGTAGGTGAACCAAGAGAGAATGACAAAGAATGGAGTTACAATAGAAGCAGCTCAATGACTCATTGACCACATGTTATGTTAAAGGTTGATATATTAGAATAACTGAAATTCTTAAAAATGCTGCTAAACTAGGAAGGTATAAAATGCATGGTATGCTTTTATACCACACTGCCCCCCCCCCCCCCCATTTATTTCAGGCTTGTCCTTAAGTGATGGTTCAATACCATTGAGATAGAGGCTCCCTTATTCATCGTAAATTTCTGGAACCTGGACAATAGTTGTTCCACGAGTCTCCATCCTGCAGATTGTGGTGGTTTGCACAATATCTATAGCTGGAGGTTTGTTCTTTCCCTTGGATTTGAAATGCTACCCTTAAGTTTAGTTGACACTTTTACAGACTTGAGCTATGGAAACATCTTTTGTGGCCTTGAAACATAGTGGTTCTACTGGAGGTGGGTGTACCTATGGTCTTTCTTTCAGAAGCTTACTCATTTGATTTTGAAAATATACTCCATAACATTTATTCTGTTGACATTGATGTTTTGATTTAGGTGATGCTACACTATGATTGTTCTGCCCACAATGGTAGAAAATGCATAGTATGGTTATACATCCACTGCCTTCATGGGCAGTTTTCAGCATCAACAAGACAGCCTAAATTCCTTTACTGGAGTTAGGCAAGATATCAAGGGTGTTCTTGGCCTTTGGACTGCCTGCAGATTCACTTCTACCAGTGGTGTTGGGTCTACTGGTTTCTTAGCTGCTAGTATGTCCAGGGTAGTTTTGGCTTTGACCAGTTGGTCCACAGAAGACAGGAGTTGCCTGTAGACTGTTCTGCCAGCAATGTTGTGTCCACTTGATTTTCAGATACTGGTGCTGTTTTGTCCAGGCCCAGGTTGATTTTAACTTTGACTGGCTATTTCATTGAAGATTGGGGTTGCCCAGATCTTGGAGACCTTAGGGATAGTCCAACAATTGGTGCAGGAAGGACCTGCTTGTCAGATATGTTGGCAAGCAACACCTCTTCCTCTGTGGGTTCTACGATGTTGAATGCCAGGCCACCACTGGAAGTCTGTAGGGGCCAGTCATGTATGCCAGATTTTCAAAGAGGAAGTCTTGAGTGTATTGGCTCTCATTGTAATGGTTTTCCATTGCAGTCAAATACTTATGAGTAGCTGGCTAGTTGAAGAAATAGATATCCAGAAGTGATACTTTGATTATAAATAGCAAAATTCTGAATTTAAGATTTATTCAGAGGAATTCCAATTGGTCAGAAGATTAGTCAGATGTGTAAGGTGTAAATAAGGTCATAACTGTCCAGTTACAACCACACCCTTTAGTAACACTATATTTAGAGACAAAGTAAAAACT